TAATTAATCATATTGTTCTTTTAATTCTTTGTCAGTTTGAAATATATATTAATAGTAATATTAATATCGAATATTTGAAGATTAAGGATTATAGTCATTTTTGATATTTTTATCACTATAATATTATTCTAATATCTTGTAAGCGATGTTTATTTATTTTGTTTTATCAAGAGCTTCTTTGTCGTGATGATTTATGTCCGGGTGATACTATTTTTAGAGCTTATTGTATTAGGATCGAATTGTTTGCCAGGAGGCATCCTTGGGTATTTTAAGAACATTGTAAGCCTCATTTATAAGTAAACAAAATCGAAAATTAGTTTTAAAAAACATATTCTTTTATATTTTATATATATATATTTAAATGTTTTAAATAATATAAAAATATTGTATATTTGTTTAATATATATATTTATTTTTACTTTTATTAAATTAATAATAATATATGTAAATATTTTAATTTTATATATAAATATTTATCATATTATAACAAATATCTTTAAAAAAAAAAAAAATATTTAATTTTAGTTGTTTTCATTAAATTCTTTTTGATCTAATATCTTTAAATCAAGTCCAATTAAAAACCCCTTTTTAAATTCTAAAATCCTTTATTTTATCCAAACTCATAAGTTTGAATTTAAAATAAATCTAACCGAATTTACTATATTATTAATTAAATCTTTCAAAATTTTAAAATTTACCTAATTAATTCAATAAGTTATATTAAATATTAGAATTTTAATTAATTTTGAAGCTACTTATTGATTAAATTGCAATCTTAAATTTAACTATTTTACTAACTCATAAAATTAAAAGGCATGATTTTTTATTTTTTTAAATATGCATTTAAAGCGGAAAATAAAGTAATTAAGTTTTTCCCTAAAATTCATTTTCGATGGCAATTCTGAGAAAAATTATACATGTTAATGACTGCAGAAATCAATTTTTTTGATTCTATTTTATATATTTTTGGCCATAATTTTAGAGTTCTTGATTAACTAAGCTTTTTGCATTAAGCATTGAAAAACTTTTACGACTATATTAAATTATAAAAAAATTAAGTTTAAGTATTTTTAAGTTTTGAATTAAAGGTTGTATTTCTTGGGTTGTTTCAAGATTGTTCATATTATGAATTAATTAAATGTCTTTCTAAAATTTGATTTAAAATAGTTTGAATCGATATTAGATTGTATAATTGAATATTAGAAAAAAATAATTTTGTTTACAATATTTAATGCTTAATAAAGTTTTTTTTATAGTAAGAAGGTTTCGTTCATAAACCTACATTCCTATATTCAAAGTTTTAAATATTATTAATTTAATTAAAATCTTTTGTATTTCCTAAAATGTAAAATTAAATTATTACTATATTAATTTATATTTTTAAATATAAATATAATAGCACCAATGAAAAAATATTAGCTTATAATCTAATAACCAAGTATACAACTCAATATAAACCATAATTTTTATTTTATATAAATATTTTTAGCATTTATTTTTTTGATTTTATTCAGTAAATAATTATCTGCATATTTAATAATTTTCATAAAAAGTAATTTTTAACATTTACTTTCTTATTAATTAATTTTATTTTTATTTAGAATATAATTATCAATTAAACAAAAGAGTTTATTATTATTAATGTAAAATAAAATTAAAAATATTTAATACATTATAAATATAATAAATTTTTATTTATAATTATATAAAAATTATATTAGGTTTTTTTTTTAAGTATTAAAATTATTTATATTTTTCAATAATTATTAAAAAACAATAAAAAAAAAAAAACTAAAATAATTATTAAAATATACTTTTTTTATTGATTGATTTGATTAAAAAATATATAGAAAAAATAAAATATTGACAAAGTAATACATATATAATAATAAATAACATATACATTTCAAATAAAATAAATTATATTTAGTTTAAAATTTCTTCTATTAAATACATTTTCATCTTAAATGCATTTAATTTATATATATATTGTTTTATAAAAAAATCAAAAAAATTAATTATTGGGTTATCTTTATGTATTACTATATTTATTTTTTATTTAAGTAATTATTATTTTTTTAAATTTAATTTAAACATTATTTAATCCTACTATATCTTTTCAAAATATTTTTAAATACTTTCAATAAGATTAAATTAATAAAGCAAAGTCTTGAACTGAGTATAATTAATAGTTAAATTTTTTTCATCTAGCTAAAACAAGGCAATTTGAATAATTTCCAAAATTTTTGCATCTACATTTGATATATCGATATGTGAAGAGGAAATAAGACCATCCCTATCAGAATCTAGATCATTAAAAATTTGCTATAAACAACTAATTTAAGGATCTTTAATAATTTTATTAGGAGTATAAGTTTAATTGGTAATATATTCTTTTGCATTTTTACTACTTATCAAACTTTTATTCAATTTACTACTTATTCTCGCCTCCGTACATATTTTTTAGGAAGTTCTTTGACTATCTTTAGGTGTTTTGCTTTGAAAATTTTAAGTCTTAACCCTTGAATAAGGTGAAAACGAGCTATGATTCATCTCTTATTTCTATTATTATTTTATTAGGGCTTACCATGAATTTTAAATTGGTTTTTTTGTTGTCATTTATTATTGAATAGTTTTTTGTGTTTAAAACTATTTATTAAAATTAATATTTTTTCCTAAGTTAGAACTAGGGGAAACACTAGTTCTACACAATTTAATTTTTTGCATCTTTTATTCTTGGTATTCTATTTTTTTTTATTCTAAAGCTTCTATGTATATTCTTTCATAATGGGAAAGTTAATCTTTTTTATTCAGATTTAAATATTTATTTGGTGATGTGATATTATGATTTTATAATTATTGTTATTAATTCGCTTAAGTTTTATTTGGAGCCACTTTTAAATGGTTTTATGCCTTTTGGTTGTATTGTATTATTTTTTATTAAAGAGCCTAAATGTTTTTTTTATTTGATTAACTTTATACATTTGATAATTTTTGAAAATTTTAAGAAATATCATTTGGATATTAATATAATAATTATTATTATTATTTCCTATATTTTTTTTTAAATATTTTATTTATATATTTTTGAATTTTTATTTTTTACATTTCATTCAACTTTTGATTTTTTTTCATATTAAATTTTTGGTATATTTATTAAATAATTTATTATCTTTATTTTTAAATTAAATCTTCTTATTGTTAAGAATCGATTTATTAATTTTCATAATTATTTATTTGTTAACTTTTTTCATTTACGAATGATTACTAATCTAAAAAACTGACTTAACCAAAGCTTAATTATTAAGATTATTTCATTTTGTTCGATTTTATTTATTAAATTTGGTCATTATTTTATTCTAAATCGTCTTAATTTTATAGCTGTTATTAAATACTTTATATAATAAATTATATGCATTCTTCTTATAAATTGTGCTTTATGCAAAATTATTCAGCTAATTATTCTAAATTACTATCATTATATACATTTATTTAATCACTTTTACCCTATCCTATATTTAGTGTTATAATAGCTAATGTTTTCTTATAATTTAATAAAAAAAAATAATAATTAATAGTTGTAAAATACTTTTTAAGTTGATCCTTATTCTGTGGAAAATTAAGAATCTTATGAGAGTAAATGATTTGTTTAATTATTTTTTAGAAGTTAATATTATTTTTTTAATTTACTTTAATCCATAATTTCTATATATATATATATATAAATATTTTTTTTATTTAAATTTATTTTATTTTTTAATATTAATTATAATTATTTTAATTATTTTATTTTAAAATTTAAAAATAATAGTATTTAAAAAAAAAAATTTAATTATAAAATAAGATATTTTTTAATTAATTTTTTTGATTTCTATAAAAAATAAATAATAAAATTTATTAATTTTTCTCTCATTTATAATTTATTAGAAGATTTAAAATTTTCTATTTAGTTTTATCTTCATTTTTAAAGTAAATTTTGAAATTAATTAATTAATTAATTAGTATACTTTTTAGCATGGTTTTTTTAATTTTACTGTATTTTTTAAAAAATTCATTCATAATCCATTTTTTTTAGCATTTTATTTTTTTATTATATCGATAGTATTTTTTAAAAAACTACACATAAAAAATTTAAAAGTAGTTTAATATTAATTTATTTATACTATTTATTAATTTTCAAACTAACATATTTCTGTATTATCAAAACTATTTAATTTTAGTATTAATATTATTTCTAATTTGCATTCTTTATATATTAATTAATTAAATATTAATCTAAAAACTTTTAATATATTTTATAAAATTAAATTAATTTAAAACTTATTATTTGAACGAGAGTTAATATAAAGCAATTTTAATAACACACATTATATTTTCAAATAAAAATGCCTTTTTTTAATAAATATAATTAATTTAAAATTTGATTTTTCATATATTTTTTAAAAATAATTATATATTATATATAAAATAATATTTTATATTTATTTGTCTTTTATAATAATTTATAATTATTTAAAACATATTATCATTTTATTATTTTTAATTTAAAGGCTTGAATTTTAATTATTTCAAAAGGAAACTTTTTTATATTCTAAATTAAATACATATGTTAAATATTTACATTTTTTTTTATAATATATTAAATTAGCATGCATAAATAGATTCTTTTTTTAATAAATTAAATTAGTAATATTTTTTTATCTTTAATAATTTTATAAATAAAAAAATTAAAACATGTTAAAAATGATAATTATAAAATTTTATAATATTTTAATAATAAAAATGTTTAGAAATAATAAATATTTATATATGTAAACTTTCAAGTAATCATATATTATTTAAATATATATTAATTTGTTTAAATAAAAAGAATTTTTTCAAAATAATAAATTAACTAAAAATCACGAAATGTATGGCTTTGATTCATAATTAAGCGATAAATTAGATGAAATGAAAGAATAAAAAAAAAATATGTTGTTGGGAATAAGTTTATTAAAAATGGAGAAAACTAAATATTTTGATTGATTAAAAAAACTTAATAATACATATAAAAAACAAATTTCATAAATACTAATCTTTTCTAATATTTAAAATTTCTTCATCTTCCTCTGGTGCATACCAATCTTTTTTTGCCAAAATTCTACTCCTATATCCTTTTTCATGAGTAACATCTCTAATAATTTTAACGAAATTAGGTACAACATGAGGCTGATTTTCATCTTAAACCTTAACTTTTAGTATACTAAAGCCTTCTTTTACATTTTCATAAGTATCAATTATATAAAAAAGCCCGTTTTGCATAAAACAGATTCTTTCTTTTAACAAATTTTACCTGGCTTTATCACACAAAGATAGCATAAAGAGATATTCTTTAAAATTAAGTTACTTTTTTTGGCTTCCGATTTATTTTCCGTTTCTATATTCTGATTAAAACCATGAATATGTGTATTAAGATTCCTAACCTCTTCTCCTTATTTTTATGTAAAATTTATATTCAGGATCTTAACTATTGATTTCTGTTTTGACAAAATTGTCCTCTATAAAAAACTTTTATATTTTTAAATCTTTAGGCATTATTTATGTGAATTCTTTTTCATTTTAAATTAAATATCTTTTGTTAAATTTTTTTAATTATACAGGCAAACCAACTTATTTTCTAACTGTTTAGACCAATTATTAAAGTTTTTGGTCAAATTTTAATTCGTTTTCCATTTTAAAATACACAGAATGAGCGAACCAAGCTAACTGAATTTTCCTGTCCAAATTAATGGCCTCTTAAGGTGACTCTCTCCTTCCATTTGTGTTCTATTTATTATAGAAATCTTCAGCTCCATCAGCTGATGTTACTAAATGTACTACACAATCATATCTAAATATTTATACGTTAATAATATATATTATATTTTAATTTTATGTTTTTTGTTCTGTATTTTCTGTAATATGTTTTAAAAACCCAATTAAAAAAAAAAAGAGATGAGTAAATATGGATAATTTCCTTCTTTTTTTTAATTGAGTTTTTATAAAAAATTGCAGAAAAATAATAAAATTTATAAGTAAGTAATATATATATTACCTTTAATCTCTAATAGTGAATTCATTAATATTCATTTAATTAAGTAACTCTTGCCATAAATGATGTGATAAATACGCTGAATTATCCATTAAACCTCTTTCACATAAAACAATTGCGTTTTAATTATTTAATTTAGCGATTCCTAAAAAAGTGTCTTCTAATTAAGCTTATTCGATCATAAGGGATTTATAAAAAGCTATTTATTAATTTTCTTCTAAATTTTATATATCTAACATTCCGCCTCCATTTACAAGCAAAGGAACTGCTTCGGGGACTGTAAATACTTAAAAGCCTTCATCTCTTAGCTTTTCGGCTAAAAGAACGACTCCTGATGTTTTACCAGAACAAGGACCCCCTGTGATGCATATTTTATATATTTTGACAGGTTCATTTGGTTAATTATCGTTTTTTTATTGTTCGTTTGTCAAAAGGTTTTCAATGTTTATGCTTTGAGTTTTTTTAATTATGGGCTGTACAGATTCTTATTTTAGAAGATTATTTTTTTCATTTTCAATATGTTTTTAGTATTCTTCTTATTCTCTTTTTTATTGAAGTATTTCTTTAAAGAGAGTGGTTTTAAGTGCATTAAATGCTTTTTTTTTTTGTAAAAGCTTTTAGGCTAAGAAATTCATTATTAAAGAAGATGCAATTGAGCATCCTATTAAGGAAATTTATTTTATTATTTTCGTATTTTCGCTTTATATAGACATTTTTTTAAAAACTAAAATATATTCTTTGAAATTTGTATAATTTTTGGATTTTTTATATAATTTTTTTAAATAATTAATTTTGCTATAATCAATTATTAAACTAAACTTAACTTTTTATTTTCTTATTTATATATATTATATAACTATTAAAATTTTTTATATAAATAGTTAAAAAATTAAAATTAAAATAATTTTCAATATCCTTTATTAATACAACATATTCCAACTTTATTTACATTAGGGTCTTTAAGTTCTTCAAAAAATTATCCTTAAGTTTAATCAACTCTTGTCCAAAAATACATACTTAATCTAATTTTAATAAAAATATATATATATATATATTCTTGTACTTAGATAAAAACCTCATCCATCCTTAAATTCTAGCAACTTAATAGGCACCTGCATATATTTCACTAAAAGTGCACAAATGATATTCATTTTTACAAGAATTTAGGGCCTTTTAAATAAAAATAAATACTATTTGTATAAAAATTTACTTCTTAATAAGTACATGATAAACAACCTAATCTAGCATAAGAGTCACTTCCGAAAATTGAAAAAGGTTAATAAGTAAGTGCATCTATTTCAGATTTTTTTAAAATACTTTTATAAAATTTAAGATTATCCATATAAAAAATAGGTCCAGAATGCCATTCATCCATTCCAATATGAAAATCTCCATTATTATTCTAATATGTATAAAATATAAATATATTTTATTTAGAAAAGAAAATAGTAAACTCTTAATTGTCCTTTTAAAATAAGTTAACTATCTAAAATTCCATTAATATAGAGTTAAACTAGCTAAGTAGAAAGTGTTAGTACAATTTAAGTCCATCTTTTAAGGGGCAAAAGTCCATTCGAGTCGAAATCTTCATTCCAGTTATTGTCTGTACTGAGTCTAATATGTAGCCTTCTGGAATTAGGCCATAACATAATAGAGGGTGTTAACTCTTATGAATTAGAACCTTTATGAATTATTGTTTTCCATCCAGGTGTATTATTATCTTAAATTAAAAATATCCAAAAACTTAAACTAAAATCTTCACTATTATAATCATCTATATGTTTAATTGTTGTTATGTTTTTAGTGTTTTACTAATCAAAGAAGGCTGAATAACCTTTGCCTCCTTGCTAAGGGCCTACTTTGGGAATATTTATTATGTCATTTTTCATTTTCGAAGTATCTATACCATATTGGTCATCAAATTTATACTCGCCTATTAAAGAATATTCGCTTGATTCAAGACCTAGTTCACTTTTTTGTGTGCCTAAACATATTGATTTTTTTATTTGAAAGCAGTTCTTTCTTTTGTTTATTTTAAACATATGTTTTTCACAAAAATAATTATTTACCTTAAATCTTCTATTCTGAAAGATTATATTTATGAAATCATGAATATTATTAGAATTGTAAATTTTATTTTATTGTTTTTTTACATTTTTTTATTTTAAGAAAAATAATAGTTTTTTAAAATAAATTATAATAATTTTGATTTTTGTTTTAAATATAAATTGTTTATTATTTCTTTTAAATTTTTTTCGCTAATAATTCGATAAAAACGCACATAAGCATATATATTTATTTCATTTGAAAATTAAAATTTATCATTTTTTGTTAATCATATGCATTATTCCATGCTTCAATATGTTACCTTTCATATTCTTCAATTTGCCTTAATATTCTTTTTTTTATATAAAATATAAATTTGAAATAGTATTATATTAATATCTATCTATTACCTTTACTACATTTATAATAGCAATATAAGTTTACTGCGCTCAAAAGAAACCCTATAAAAGTTAATATTCCCTGTTTAAATAAGTTATTTTTTTATTTAAAAAAGTAAAAAATGATTAAGATTAAAAAAATAACCCAATATAAATTTAAAGATATGATTTTAAATACTAAAAAAATCGCCCAAAATACAGTTGAAGCAAATTGGCTTGTCCAAAAAAATGATTTATCAACTAAATTTGCTTCAAACTTTTTATCAAAAGATTCGAATCTCCATTCTTCAACCCCTTCGTCATTAAAATCACTCCACCATCTCAATCCAACTAATAAACTTTTATTAATAAAACATTTTTTTAAGAAATAATAATATATGTATAATTTTATACCGTCCTGTGACATTTTTAACAGTCCAAAAATCAAAACTATTTAATAGTACAATAATAATAAAAATCATCACATCGGAGAAAAATAACCCTCCAAAAAAATATCTTTTTTACATAATCAATTTTTTATATTATAAAAAATATAATACGTAGCAACTGCTAATCCTTTAAATAATAAAGTGAATATAACTGCTATTGGATGCAAAGCTTTTTTTATATCATATTTATCGTTTTAATCTATTTCTTCGAATGAATCACTGTTTTCATCTTCATCTTCAACTTATTTTTATTTTTTATTCTTTTTTTATTTTTTTTGATTTTCTTCTTCATTATCATTAGAAATATTCTTTTCTATATTTATTTCTTTAAATATTTAATCAGGTGGTTAATATTTTGTTTTATTTTCAATCATTTTTATTTGATTTTTTTAAAAAAAATTATAAATATAATAGAAAAAAATAATATTTTTTTTATTTTCTTAAATTTTTAATAAAATTAATACAAATTAATTTATTTAATTTTTTTATTTGATTCAAACAATTAATATATATAAAAAAATTAGTATTTTAAAAAAAAATTTACATTTTAATTTTGACGAATTATAATATTTATCAATTAAAATAATATAATATAATAAATTTATAATATTCGCAACATAAAATCATACAATTTTATTTTATAAATATTTCTATTACACAAATATTATTTATTAATTTCTGAATTATTAAAAATATTTACTGTTTATTATAAAAAAATCATTATATCCAAAATGCATCTTTTTATACTAATTTTACTTGTTATTATTAATAAAATAAGCCTGCTCCTCTAAAATCGCTTTAAAGATTTTTATTTTAAAATCAAAAGTTTATTGATTTTTTTGAGGAGAATATTTTATTTATTTATTAATAATTCAACCAAATTTAATAACTGTAGGTTTCAGTTTTATTGATTAAAATTTTAATTAAACTTTTCTTATAAACTACAAAAATTTATAATTTAAGTCTATGATAACATATCTAGAGAATAAGCTAAATTAATAAAAAGCCATTCCCAAAATGTTTTTTTATATATGACTTACAGGTTCTTCCAATTTTCTTATCAAAGTCTTTTTCTTATTTATTTGAAAGAAAATTTTGTTTTTCATCTTTAAAGATTCTTACTTTTATATAAAAAATTAATTTTTATGATTTTATTTATATTAATATAGAATAAATATTTAAAAATTGATTTTTTATATAAATAATTAATTATATATTTTATTTGCAAAGTTTCATAAATTAACTAATTCTTATTGCTTTTAATTTTATAAAAATTACAAGAAAATTTAAAACAAATTATTATCTAACCTTTATAGATAAGAATTAAAATACAAAAACGTACGTATTCTAATTATTATTATAAATCAATTTATTACAAATATTAAAATAACAAAAAATTAATTATTATTTATACAAATAAATATTAAAAAAAACCATAATATCACAAAAATAGTTATTTTACATTAATTCCACGCAACAAATATAAAAGACTGCCCTAAGAATCGCAAATAAAATCATATTTAATTAACTATAATTATTATCAAATGATTTTTTATTTTAAAAAAATATATTAACCCCTATTTAATTATAAATTTCATGTATCTTTAATAATTTAATCTAATTAATAAAATAATTATTTTATATTTATGATTTTTTAATTAAATTTATTAATCTCTGGTTAATATTAAATTCCTTAACATTTATTCACATATAATATTAAAATCAATTTACAAATTTAAAATACAAAGATAATTATTTAAATGAATTATTATTTATTCACAATCAGAATAATCAAATTTTTAATTTTAATCATTTTATTTTTTAATGTTATAAATATTTTCAATTAAATTTGTTTACAAAGACATAAGTTTTTAGAATTAGGTTTTAATATAAATTTATTTGTAAAAATATATATTATCAATTAAATCATTATATAAGCTTATTTCGCTATATTACTATTTTTATTTTGAAAAAAAGATTAAATTTAATTAATTAAAATATTCTAATAACATATTAAGAAATAATTATTAATAGAAACAAAAGTAATTAAAATAAAAAAACTAGTAATAAAAAAATAATTTTTATGAATTCAATTGAATTGGAAATTAATGTGTTTTCCATTTATTTATTTTATATTTCTTTATTTTAGATTTTAAATTTTAGTGTTTTTTTTTTTCTTATAGAAAGCTTTTGATTTATATAATTAAATTTACTATTTTTTCTTGATTATAAAAAGAAAAATAATTCAAAATTTTTACCATATTTAATTAATCGTAATAATATCCAAAAAAATTGCCCAATAAATGAAAAGCATATTTAATTAGTTTATACAGTTAAATTATCCTATATTAAACTTAAAGTTTTATTTTTGTTAAAGAACTTAGTATTTATTTAAATATACAACTTGATTTATATATACTAATTTAAAAAAATAAAAAATATACTTTTTTTTTTTTAAAAAAAAAAGTAGATATATCCTTATCAGGCGAGATCAAAAATACTATTTTTATAACTAATGGAATAATTTTATATATTATAAAATTAATTAAAATAAATAAATATTAAAGAATAAAAAATAAACATTAATTAATTATTTAACAAATTAAAAATAATTTTTTTTATTTATACAAACAAAATATTAATTTTTTTAAAAAATAATAAATTCGCATAATTTTTGCTAGTAAAAATGAAGATTCTATTATATTGTATTAATAATAAAATTAATATTAATTTATCTTCCAAAAATTTTATATTTCTATATATTAGTTATTGTTTTTAATTACTGGTTATACAAAATGTAAAAGTTATGTATTATTTTTACAGGGATTAAATAACAAAATACATTATTTAGAAATTTAAAATCATAAAAATTAATTATTATTTTACAAAATATTAAAAGTTTATGATTTTATTTTAAATTTATTAACTAAATAATTTAATTAATAAAGAAAAATGAAAAAAATTCACATATTGTAATTTATTATTTTAAATATAAAAAATATATAACTATAATTTTATTTCTTTTTTATTTTACATAATTAAAATAATTTATATATGGCAATAAAAAAGTTTATTATTTATAAAAAAATTAAAGTAAAATAGATTATTATAAATTATAAAACCAAAATTATCTAAATTAATTATAAAATAAAAAAAATATATATTTCTAAATAAATTAAACTTAAAAAAATTAAAAAAATGGAAAACTAATAATATAACAAAATACTTGAAAATCATTTTAATATTATTAAATAAATTCATTCTTAAAATTAAGAGTGGAAAAAAGATTATCAAAAAGGAAATACAACCATATATAGCAGAAAATACGAAAAGAATCCTATAAATTTAATAAAAGTACATTCTGAAGTTCCTGTAAACATTTAAAAATGTATAAAATTTTATCATTTAGATAATTAAGGATAACTGAATTGTAGAGAAAATAGCGATTTTATTAGAAATTTAGATTAGATAGATGAAAATACTTATGTTTGTCATTTTTAAGTAAAAGGTAAATTTATGATAAGCTCAAGAGAATTTCTTTAAATTTAATAATTAAAGAAAATTGATGATAATAACTACATTATAATCAAACCTGATTTAAAAGAACATTATAAGTTTTAACCTACTAAAGGATGTGTAAGAGGAGAAATAATTGTTTAAGGCATTGCTTTGCAAAAAGTTGATGAAAATAAAACTATTGTTGATTAGTATTTTCTTTTGGATCCTAAAGGAAGCATTCCAACTTCACTTATTAGTTTAACTGTTTAGCTTGAATTGATTGTTTAAGAAAAAGCTGAAAAAATAATGTAGAATTATTGATAATATAAATAATATACCTAATATAATTTTATTTTAAAATATTTTTTATACAGAAAGATATTATTTTATTTTATATTATATTTTAATATCTATTATTAATATAAAATATTCATATTAATAAAGGTTAAATTTATAGATTTTTTTTTAAAAAATATAAAATAAAAATAATTATATAATTATATAATTTATTTATATTAAATATAATTTTAATTTTCAAAAATTATTATAAAAATGAAATAAAATATAATAGATGATTACATTTTTCATATAAAAAAAAATAGATATATTAAATTAGTATATTCATATATTTTTTTTATATTTAAATTTTTAAGTTAATCATATTAATTTATTTATTTTATAAAATTTTAATTCATTATAAATATACTTTTTTAATTATTCTTAGAAAATTAATTTTCATTTTAAACATTATTTATTTTATTAAATTTAACCTTTTTCATATATTTTTATATTTTTATATTATTTGATAATAATAATTTTTAAAAAATCGGAACTTTTATTCAGAATTTATTAGATTATTCTATTTTATTTCTATAATCAAAATCCTTTGCAATAAAGAAATTTAAGATATAATCTTAAAATTTAAATAAAACAAAGCTTGTTAAGAGTAAATAATATAAAATATTTTGCGAAATAGAAAAATATATAACTACAATTTACAATAATTAAGGATACTATAGCTGATTTATTTTAGGGCTGGAAAGAATATTTAAAAAATAACTTTTATAATATTTCCTTATTTGATGGATAAGTTAATAATCATAGTAAAAATATTTAATATGATAATATTTTTTATAAAACTATTTGAGAAGTTTAAAAATAAATAAAGATAAAATTTAATAATATATTAATATTTATTAGATTTATTAAATTTACAATGAAAATGAAACCAATATTATTTAAAATAAAATAAAAATTTAATAATTTAAATTAATAAAAAGTAAATTCAAGGCGGTTGGATTTATGCTCATATTTTTAATCAAACACTTAGAATAAATTATTGCCTATTTATTCTTAATGGCGTTGATGAAATTACATATTATTGATAAATAAATTTTTAATCATTACAATTTGTTATTTGTTTTCAGTATATTAAATTCTCTTCTAAATAAATAATAATGAATAAAATAAATAATTTATAATAAGTATTATATATAATTATTGTAATAAAATATAAAAAATATTTTATATTTATATTTTTTATTTAATTAAAAATTAATTTTTTATATTTAATTTATAAAAAATATTTAATTAATATTTTTTTTATAATAAATTTTTCTATATATATATGAATTAATTAATTCTAGAAAATAATTTTGTTTTCATTAGTATTTTATAATATTAGAAAAAAAAATTATGCGTATATATTAATTATAATAAAAGTTTGACATATTTATATAGTAAAATTATTGAAAATAATTTTTATTAGAAAAAAGGAATAATTAATAATTTTTACGTTCTCTTATATATATATATTTTATTAAAATATTACAAAAAAAGATTAAATTAATATGGTCATAATATCATTATATAATATTGTTTTTTCACAACCACTAATTGCATTCCCACTAATAAATCACATCCAAATTATTCTTGCGACCGTTTTTTAATATATGTCAAACATAAATATTTTTTTTATGTGTAGTTTATTGTATTTATAACTTAGAACTATAAAATTATCTAGTTTTAATATTAATAAAGTAGCTATATATTCCTTCTGAAAATGTCAATATATGAAGCGTTTCATATGTAATTAATTTAAGCAATTTTTATTGATACAAACACAGAAGTTATATTTTTTTTCTAAAATGTATTAATATTACTATGTTTGAAAAACAAGTGATTAAAATATATATAAATTTTAAAGCAAAATAATTAAAATATAATTTATAATAATTATTAATAAGAAAAAATTTAATTAAAAATATAGATATATATAATTAAATTAATAAATAAATTAATATTTATATTAATACATATAAAAATTAAATATTTATAATTATTATTTTCATATAGATATAATTTTTTTATTTTAATCTTATAAAAATATTAGATATAAATATGACTATAATTGAAAAATTAGTTCATTTTGAAACAGTAGTAAATCCAGAGTAATATGAAAATTTAGCTATTATTTTGCTAGTCATAGGATTTGTTTTGATGAGTTATTTCTTTATGTAATATTTTTTAAAAAATTTAAGATTTATATTTTTAATTCTTAATTAATGAACAAAAGATATTAAATTTCATACTAAAAATAAAATCGGTCTTTAGCGAAAGAGATAATAATTGGAGCATTTTCAAGTATATATTTATCATTAGGTGCATTGTTTACTTTATTGGCTTGTGGCTTTTATCTTTGAATATAAAAATTTAAATAAATAATGTAAAATTATGAAATATAAATGGTTAATAAATTATTTAGCATTTTATTAAGATAAGTAATTAACAATATTTTTTATAAATATAGATGTTTATTATATATTTTTTTTATGATTAGTTTGAATTAAAGTGCTTATATAAATATTTTTCATTATTTTATATTTACATAAATTAAATTATTATAATTATATTATTAAAATAAAAATTATGTATATTTAATAACACATAAACTATTTAATATTTAATTAGTATAAGCAAATATATTTCAAAAACTTTGAAATAATTTAAATTATATAAGTATTGTATATTATTATCAAAAAATGTATTTAATGTTTATATTATTTCCATTATTATTAAATTTTTTTAAATATTTAAGATTTTTTAATATATCTTTGTTTATTTTAGAATTTTTTTTTAGACATGTTTTATTATATTTTAAATTATTTAACCATTATACTAATTAGTATAGATTAATTTGTATTAAAGTTTATATTTATAATTACAATACATCATATTTATACATATAAATTAATTATATTTAATTGTATATATTTTTTAATTAAAAATAATTAAATTAAAACATTATTATTTTAAACTTACTTTAATATTTTTATTTTGTTTAATTTTATTTCTCTTTAATTCAAACAATCTTTTTTAATAAAGAATTGAATTCTGAATTCTAAAACTAATACATAATCTTTTTAAGAATTTTTTACAATTCAATTTCAATTTTAATTTCAATTTTATTTTCTTTATTTAAATCATGCTAATATTCTCGATTTTTAATATTAATTTTTATAGAATAAATAAAATTTATAAATTAAAAAATAATTTATTATTTGATACAATATACAAGTTTTATTGTTTTATATCTAATAATTTTATTTTAATTTTTTATTTTATTAAGTTTTAATAACAAAATAGAAAAAGTTAAAACACTTTTATTTAGGGTTTAAAATTAAAATTTCACTCAAAAATTAAAAATTAATAAATAAAGTTTGTAAATAATTAAAAATGATTTAAATCATAGACGTTCATAAAAAATATTTGGAAAAACTTGATAACTCTATATTAAAAATATATAAATAAAAATTATTATTAACCTTTTTACCTGTTTAAATTATTTTTCTTATGATTATTTAAAAATCTAATTGAATATTAAATTTTAATCTGTCCAAATTTAATAATTATTAACCATTTTTAATAGTTTAAATTTAAGCTTTTTTAATATATCATATTGATTTTAACTTTTTATATTTGATTTCTTATATTTTAACAAACAAATATTATCCTTTAATTATTGGAATTTTAAAATATGCTATTTTCATTATTGAATAACCTAAATATTTATAAAAAATATATTTTTAAGGATAAAATATACTTTTTTATTAACAATTTTGTATTAATCTTAACTATGTTTACGAATTTTATATTTATTTTAAATAATGTCTCCGTTTTCTTTTAATATTTCCTACTATTAATTTTTCTTTTTTACTTTAAAACATTAAAATTTTTATAAATTAAAAAATGGTATATAATAATTATAAATTATAATAATTTTTTCTTTTTAATTATTATTTTAGTTTTTTTATGTTGTTTTTAAAATTTGTATTTATCGCAATAAATGCAAAAACATTAAATATAAGATGCATAAATATAATAATTAACTTTTACTTTTTAATTTTTTTTTATACTTTTTTGTTTTGCAATTCTTTTTTTTTTTAAATATTATGGAAAAAAATGGATTATGTTTTTTTTTTGTTTATTATTATTGATCTACAAAAAAATAAAAATATCCTATTAAAATGTAATATTTTCTTATTCATGATTATTATTAATTTTAATAGATTAAGGTTTATTTATAGATATTTTTTTTTTTCATTTGGAATATTTCTTTCTGGTTATTTATTGATAAACGAGTAAATAATTTTTAATCAAATTTTTAACTTATCAGATATTCTTATACTTTATATGATTAAAGGAAATCTTATTTTACATATTTAATATAAGGTATTAATGAATATATTTATTTAGATCTATTGAATATATTTTAATTTCATTTATATCTAAAAATCAAAATTCTAATAAAATAAATTCACCTTTATAATTTGTATTATTATTTTTTATATCTTAAGTTTCAATTACAATTTTATTTAAGCTAAATATTTGTTTATATTGTATCATCCGCAATATCAAATATTAAGATTTATATTTATATATTATCAATTATAAATTTAAAATAGTTTATTTTCTTTATTTTGTAATTGTTTATTTTTTTAATAAAAATGTTATATTATGTACTATCTTATTTTTTTATTTATAAGCTGTGCTTATTAAATATTTGCATATTTAACAACATATTATTAATATGATTTCAGGAAATTAGTAATAATAGATTTATATGATGTAGATATTTATTCTATTAGTTATAAAATTTTAGTTTCCCTATTCGGAAAAATGTTGAGCCTCTCTTTAAAATATTATATACTAGATTGATATTGTTTTTTTTTTATTTTTTAAATATATTTTTCTATTTAAACTAGCGAATAAATTGAAAAAAATTATTTTACATATACGTATATGTATTATAAAAAATATATTATTTTTTAAATAATCTTATTAAGTTCATCATTTCTTATTCTTAGATTCCAAAACTGCACAAAAGAATCCGTCCATACTGCTATTTTAATCAGTTAAAGATTGAAAAGGCTTTTCAACAACTTTTAGATTAAATTACTCACAAAAATGTTCGATTTAAAATTAATTTTCTTCATTTAAAATTGAACAAGTAGAATAAGCAATTTTTCCATTATCCAAATTCAAATATTCAATAGCTTCTTTAAATATACCTTTTTATAAATCTACAAAATATTTTAATCTATCTTTATTATATTTATATTTTAAATCTGGGTTTCTTCTTAAAGTACCAGTTCCTGTGCAAGGAACATCGCATAATATCCAATCAAACTTATTTTTTAACAATTATTTTTTCTCATTTAAGCTTTCTTAATTATGAAATTAAACATTCTATATTCCTGCTTTTTTAAATCTTTTTTTGGCCTAATAATAAAAAAAATATAGTATTTTAGAATAATAAATACCTCTATTAAAACTTAATTTCTTATATCATGTAAATATAATTGTCCTTTTCCTTCCATAAGATGAGCAAAAGCCAAAGATTTTCCACCTGATCCTGCACAATAATCTAGTATTTTTTAACCTGGTGAACATTTTACTTCTAAAGCCACAAGTTACGAAGCTTCATCTTAAATTTCGAAATATCCTTAATTATATTCAATCATTTCAAAAAGATTTTCGCTTTTTGTGGTTGTAAATTTTATTCCATAAGGAGAATGAGAAGTTGCTCTAACTCCTAATTTATGTGTTTCTTACCATTTTTAAAGTAGTTGGTCTCTTTCAATTTTCAAAGGGTTAACTCTTATTGTAAGTGGAGCTTTGAACATTTAGGATTTGCAAATTTCAAAAGCTTTCTTTTCTCCATGTGAATTTACAATGTCTTAATATAATCTTTTAATTATATTATAAAAATTATATTAACATATATTATATTAAATAATACTCTTTTGGGCAACTTGCTCGGATATCCTTTTTTTATAATACAAATACATTATAAATTTTAAGCTATATTGTAATTTTTACGGTAAAAGCGATGTATTTTCTTGCATTGTTTTAAATCTTTCAGTATACATTGTTTCTAACCTTTTTTCCCATGAAATGGGTTTAAATGTTATTGTATCTAAATACGTTTTATTTCTAACCATTTTATATATATTATCAGCAACAAGTTTTCTGTCTGAACTGCCTATTGATTTATTTTATTTTAAATAATTCTTTAACATTTAATCAATTGGGGATGCTAATGTTTTTTTTCTTAAAATTCGATTTCCCAATTAGAAAGAAATTTACAAATATGATTTGTTATTTTAGGTTTTAATGTTTATTTTAACATTTTTATTATTATTATTAATTTTTTTTATACTTTAAAATATAAAGAAAGAATTTTAACTTTTTTACTTAAATTCTAAATTTTATAAAAAATAAAAGAACAAATATTTGATTAAAAAAAAATCATAAAAACATTAATGTAAAAATAAATTTATAGAGTTTAGAATAATATTATATAAAATTATTATAATTTTAATCTTTAATTATATATTTTCATTTTAACTAAATTTATTTAAAAAAATAATAATATAATTTTAAATTAAATATTTTCTGTAAATAATTTTATTTTTAATAAATAACAATCTTTGTTTCAAAAAAATTAATATATTGGCTCTCTGTCGACATTTTATTTATTTATTTATAAAAATGCTCATTTCGGAATAGACGATAGACAATATTATAGCTGATAAGTTTTTAATTAACAGAGAATTATCTGAACTTTTAATAATAAAATTGTATGTTTCAAATATGCCTCTAAAATAGATGCATATATATAGAAATTTTAAGGAACAAATTTATTTTATTTTTGGAATAAAGTATAAAAATGTATAAGTAAATTTTAAATAAATAAATAATAATAAAATATTAAAAAAAAATTAAATAGAGGATAACATTATTGAATTTATGGTTCTTCGAATATTTTAATTCTACAAATATTTTATAAATCAAAATAAAAAAAGATTATTATTTATAAAAATATAAATAAGAACTTTTAAAAATAAAATTCTGAAAAAATATATAAAATTTTATATGGAAATTAGAAAAAAAAGTTCTTTTAAAAATATATAAATAAAAAAACATGTTCAAAATATATATAAAGTAAAAGGATTATGAGGTTGTGATTGGGGTTTAGGGTTGGGGTTGGGGTTGGGGTTGGGGTTGGGGTTGGGGTTGGGGTTGGGGTTGGGGTTGGGGTTGGGGT